CCGCTGCTCCTCCACTGCCTCCCCTCTCGCAAGACACCAGACGGACACAATGTGCTCTGGTTGCCTTTGCGGATGCCACAGCACTTACAACATAGAGCAGGAGCTCAGGGCCGGCTCGAGCCATTCCTGCGCTGCGGGTGCGCAACACATGCGCGGCTCCGCCCCCGGGTGCACAGCGCATGCGCAGTCCCGTGCCCTGGTGCACTGTGCACCTTACAGCTGCCATCGGGCACACGGCACCTAATTGCAGCTCTAAGGGGCGCCGCACAGCCCCCAGCCCCAGACGTGTGGTGCCTGATGGCAGCTCTAAGGGGCACCGCGCAGTCCCTGGCCCCGGGCACACAGCGCTGATGGCAGCTCTAAGGGGCGCTGCATGGCTGGGCGCGTGGCGCCCCTTACAGCTGCCATCAGGCGTCCCTGATAGGTTGGTGCCCCAGGCAGCTTCCCTGCTAGCCCCCCCTTTAATCCGGCCCTGCAGGAGCTGCTGCAAAGCATTGCCAGGCTCATGGGTCTCGTGCTGTGCCTCATAGCGCAGTTTGTCCAGACTTCCCACATGCTACTCCAGCAGGACGATGACCCTCATCAGCCAAGTCCTGGTGCTCCTGAAAATGCCCTCAATCCCCTGGCCACCATGGAACACCACTTCTGATGGAGGGACACCAGTTCAGACTGAAGTGACCGCATCGTCCTGCAGGTATGGGACAACCAGCAGTGGCATGCAGAAGGCCACCTTCCTCAAACTCTGAGTGCCTCACCCCTGCCTTCAGACCATAGGACACAGACTGCGACCAGCTATCTCCATGCAGAACTGCATCACCATCACCTTGTGGAAGCTCACCATGCCAGACAGCTACTGCTCTGTTGGGAACCAGTTTGGCGTGAGGAAATCCAGTCAGGGCTGTGCTGCTGCAAGTAGCCAAGGCCATAAACCATGTGTTGCCACGGAGGGTCGTCACTCCAGAGAATGTGGACACCATTGTTAATGGTTTTGCTGCCATGGGCTTCTCCAAGGGTATGTCTACACTACCACCCTAGTTTGAACTAGGGTGGTAATGTAGGCAACCAGAGTTGCAAATGAAGCCTGGGATTTGAATTTCCCGGGCTTCATTTGCATCTTGCCGGGAGCTGCCATTTTTAAATCTAATCTCTGAGCAGACACTGAAGGTCTCAATCAGACAATGACAATGTGCTTCAAACAAGGCCATATGTTGCCTCGACAGTGGGCACTTTCCTGCAGGGTCACAGACATCCCGGAGGAGCATCAGTACACCCTTGACCCAGAGACAAGCAGGCATGGAAAGGTGCTGGCTAGGCCAGGAGCCTGCAGGGAGAAGTGGGGGATAGGGTGCTATGGCTTCCTTCCATGTCCCACACATGCTGGGTCCAGCACTAGCGGCATCCCACAGAAATCAAACTTTTATCCCTGCCAGCTGAAGGAGGGGGTTGTTGGAGGAGTTGTGTGTGAGCGAGGGAGGCCGCTTGCCTGAGAGAGTGGTACTGGGGTCCTCTCCTCTTCCTCCTCCAAACAAGTTCCCCTCCATATCGCCACACTTGACCGAGAGTGGTTGCTGACCGAGTGCAGGCATGACCCTGTACCGTGTGAGGCACTGCTGTTTGGTTCCATGACCCCAGCTTCCTTAGTGGTGGCTTGTTGTGGGAAGGTATCCCACCGCAGAGCCCGGAGTAAGGCAGGTCTCTCCAGGAGACTTGTGAGAAGGACCAAGGGATTCCTGCATGAAAGCGTCATGGGGCTGAGTGTTCCGGCCTGGTGCACCGTGTGCTTCCACGGGCTGTTATGTGACCCCCCCCCCACCAGACCAGTAGTCAGAGTGAAGAGCACGCAGCCCCTCACAGCCCATCGTCTGCCCTGCATCTGTATAGGGAAAGTTAAAGAACTCACCTGACGTGCCTTCCTTGAGTTCATCTGAAGTCTGGGAGACAACCTGGGGTGAGGGGGACCAGCTCCAGGATGAAGAGCAGCTCCTGACTGGCGGGTCTCCTCCTCTTCATCCATAACCCTGCCCTCATCCAGGCTGATGTCAGGAGTGTGTAGGCCAGACTCGATGACGACTAGAAGGGGGGAAGTGACTGGCCTCCCTCCCAGGATGGCATCTGAACTGTTCATAAAAGCAGCAGGTGTATGGTGCTATCCCAGAGCGTGTTCTCTACTCCCTGGTCTTGTTATAGGCTTGCTGGGGCTCTTCTATCTTCATGCAGTTCTTGTCGAGGGTCCGGATGTGGCCTTTGTCAGCCAGGCTGGCGACCATCCGGCCATACACATCAGCATTCCTTTTTCTGGTTCAGAGATCCTGGAGCTTGGTCTCCTTGCCCCAGACCTCAATGAGGTCCAGGATTTCCATACCAGTCAAGGCCAGTGCTCTCCTGCATCCCTGGCCAGTGGCAGCTGAGGGTGCTGCAGGAATGATGGCAGCCATGGGGGACTCAGAGGGAAGTGTGCCAAGACTCCGTCAGCTGATGCTGTTTGGCCCAGGGCTTGCCAAGGTGGTAACATGCCGCAAGCCCTTCTCCAGCAGCCTGCTATTTTCAGGTCCCCAGGAGAAGGGCAGCAATGGAGCTGGCAGGTGTGGCCAGAGTGGCCACAAGTGCAGCTCTGGAGGGCAATTACGGTAGAGTCCAGATTATCCGACCTTCGATAATTCGACATTCCGCTTTATCCGACATAGCCGCGGGACCATTGTCAGCCAAGCACAGCGCGAGTATGTGGTCCCCAAGGCCAGCCGCCCTGCGCTGCTATGCCGCAGGCAGCCTCCCCAGCTGAAGAGGCTCCAGCAGCCTCCCATGGGGCAGAGCCTCCTGC